CGATGAAGGGAGGGGGGGGGGATTAAAGGAATCTTGCGCGGAAAATTCTTGCACTCTTTCCTAACATGAATATGTCAGTTGTGATCACTGGAAATAGCACACAAAGTTTCACGCATGAAGATTCGGTTTCTGAAGAGAAACAAACGTACAAAAACTACACGTTATGGACCATCGAAGGACCAGGAGGCAGAGCCAGGCGAGGCATGGAAAGAAGACGGCGTTTGGCCGGCTACGTACCAGGCGACGCAATGAGAGAATCGGGTTAAAGCGCGCGATTTCGGAGAGTGGAGACAAATCGATCGATGGAATAGGATGGAGTAGAAGTGTAAGATGTGAATGCAACGAAGCAGAAGGCCAGAAAGAGCTTCTAGTGAATGCACTCCAAGAACCAAGTTTGAGCATCCCCGTCGCCAGCATTCGTGAAAGACGTCCGTGGGCAATTCGAACGCGTAGCAGCCTTTTCGAGTTTTCGAATTTCTAATCAAAACGAAAGCAATACTTCAGTTCTTTTCACTATTATCGTGGATAATGAGTCTCAAGCCAGTGATTTATGGCTGAAATAGAATCATGATTTTTCCGCGCAAGATTCCTTTAACTGTATTAGAGGAAAAAGGAGGTGGGTATAGAACCGCAGTCACACAACGTGTAGGTCACTTGCAGTGGGCAAAACTGTGTGTTGATAGGGGCGCAGTTAGCTTGAGCATCGACTCATCGAACTCGGCTATCGAATCAGCAGCGCTGACAGCTGGATGTACGCCGGTAAAAGTTTCGCAATGGATCAAAAGCGACGGCGAACTCCCGATTGTAGTGAGACGAAAAGTTGAACTTTTGCGTTTTTGTTTGAAACGTGATTACGGCCTTATATGCGACAAAATTGACTTTTGCTTTTAAAGAGCCCCTGGAGCTAACAGAGCTGAAGATGGAATCAGAGCATCAGTCTATAGCAAAGTGGAGGTCGGATTCATCATTGAAGGTGTTATCCACAGGTCAACCACCGGCTCATTTCTAAAGAGGGCTAGTGGTCGAGTTCCAACCTCAAACTATGGCAAAAGAAATGTTCATCTTCCCACAACACTTCTGAGAGTCATACGAGTGTTCACAACAACTCTTGAATTTGCAAAGTGTCTTGTACTACCTGTAAATCTAAAAGTTGTTATGAGCAAGTGAACAATTGAATTTAGCCATGATGCTCGACCAGCTAGCCCTTTGCGGGGATGAGCTCAAAGTGTTTTGTGTTTTTGAACGCGAGTTTACTGACACCTCTTGGTCTTACGTGTCACGATTGTAATATGTGGATATTACAGAATGGTCCATTCGCATTGGAAGACAATTTGACCATTGTGAGGCCAAAGGTATCTGTCACCAGCCGACTGGCAAGTCAGGAATCTTTTAACTTCTCGAACAACTTCAATCTCGTGATGTATCTCCCGCCAAGAAGAAGGAAATATCCTTGACGGACAAGTGCCCGAACACAATCTAGGAAACTAGCTAAGGAAAGAGACACGCGATAGGTCATACAAACCATCACCCAGTCGGCACAGTAGGATATCTATGAACGTCACATATAAGATCAGTAACATAATGCCTCTATGTACATTGTTCGGCCTTTTGTTAAAAATGAGCATACAAAAATAACCAGCCAAATCACCAAATCATAAACTAAACTAGTGGGCGGATCGCTTTTGGGGCGGAGTGCTTTCGAAGTCCTGCTCAGCAACCAGCGCACCTTTCGTCGTGAAAGCGCCACACCTCGCTTCCCTGGCAGCCAAGTAACTGATTCGTGTGGTGCATATGCTTCCCCGATGCGCTCCCTCTTTATCGTAATCGCTGCCTTTAACAAACAAGCTACGCGCAACGCTTAGGGTATTAAACGAATCCACAGATTCTTACGCAAACCGGAGGGGCCTGCAGCCCCGTTGTTTGCCACCTTCTTTATTTTATTTGGGATTACTGTCTCAAAACAGGTGTGAATTTTCCGTAGTATAGATCAGATAAAGCCGTTTAACCCGCGTCTCTATGGAACAAGAAAACCTAACCGCTGATCTTAATATTTCACTTTTTTCGAACTTTCAATACCTATTCATCAGTTCTTAGGTGATGGTTGTGAAAAGGATGAACTGTTAGCGTGCTCGAATGGAATGGAAGAGCACTTTACACAAAGACTCGAGTATAACCCGTTTCTTAGGAGATTTTTCCGTCAGTCTTCGTTCGAATTATCAATGACATCAATAGGAGAAACATTTATAACTGCTATGAAAAATGACAAGGCCATGTGTTCAGAACAGGTTTTATTTTTCAAGAGTTGCATTGAAAAGTTGGGCCATGAAATCTTCACGAGATGGCAGTAAGATGGCGGCATTCATACAACTTGAAAGGGAACGGCTGCAAGCGACACGATCACGGCTGGTGTGGTTGGGCATCTTCTATGAAAGCACAGTGGCTGGTGACCACGACGGGCACTTATAACAATGCGCTTTGGAGGGGCGGATTTTCGATGGTGAAGGCGGTGTTTCGTACTGGCTGCTCTCCTTCGACCTGAAATTCGAGGAATATTTCGAAGATTAGCAATTATTCACGAGAGATCCAGCCCTATGACCGAAAGATATGTAGGCCTTTTCAAGGGCACAAAATTTGTACAACCCTGGGGTTATCATTGGGATTGGGTTATAGGGAGTTGAGGATTAGATTATGAGAAGCACTAAGAGCGGCGAACGGTGAGCGAATGTCTCAATGTCATAAATCGAATTTCCCCTATTGGGAATGGGTCAGACCTTCTAGCAAGCTCACTATCTCCGCAACCCGTCGCTATTGAGGGAACTTTTCTCTGCGCGACCTGAAATCGTATCCTGCACACGAATAGGTGCGGTTATTGGCCAAAATGAAAGCAATTTGTGGCGACGAGTTCAACAGTAATTAAAACAAACCTGCTCAAAACCTTAGGCTCTCACCGCGCTAGTCACGTGAGTAGGACTCCCACCCGCCCGTTAGTCTCATTTCTTGGTCCCATCCATGGCCGATGTCAGACTTTGCGAGCGATTCGCTAGCGTGCGCGGTCGCATCGCGTCCAGCGCACCGCTTGGTGGACTGGTACCGCAGGCGGCCACCGTGTGGCGCTCGTCGCGGTGTTTTCGTGCCCGATTCGCGAATTCAGATCATGCAGCCTATCGAATTTTATCAATCAGAGAAACAGCCAACAAGTGATAACTCTCGTAGGGGGCGTGGACCACCATCCTATGGTACGCGCTATGCAATCTAAAGACTCTCAGCTACTTTTTTGTTTCTTTTCATTCCGATGGACAGTTATTACGATTGCATTCGCATTCGAGCGCAACAGCCTACCCTTTTCAATCGTGGATGTATGTCTTTAAGTTCGTATTCGCGCAGGAAGTCATATCTAAGGGAAGGAAATAGACGCAACGTTAAATTCAGTGACAGAATCATAGCGGAGAGACAAGACCACTTCAGGATATTAGGTCTTCTTGCGCAGGAGCTCACGCGAATTTAGACATAAAGAAACAGGAGGCAGTATGATAACCAAAATATTTAACGCCCTATGGATGCCCAACAGATGTAAAATGGGAGGGAATACCGTTGGCGTTCGCCGAACTCCCAAATCTTACGATGCCCTTCGCCGATCTGTCTTCGTATGACCATCCAAAGTAGATTCTCTCAACCAATACACCATCCACGCGTCACCCTCATCACCTAATTCTTTCTATACTGAATTATTTGCGGCTAATGACACACTTTAAACTCTGAGAGATTTCTCCGAAAAAGGTCCCCCTCAATGACAAACCCCCCGCCCGAAAACTTGGCCCCTTCCAACTTTCACAGTGATTATGGTTGGAAGATACGGTAAAGGATAACATATGCATGCATCAACACCTGACCTGTTTTTCTTGCGTGACTTTGGTAACATGGAAATAACTGCCGGGACCAGTTCCTCGCGGTCTAACAACGAGGTCAGCCGTACTGCGAGCCTGGAAAATGGAAAATGTAATATAGTCTCATTTTTGGAAGGACTGTTCAGACTCAAAGCGAACCTCTCCGGCAACATTTTCAGCCAAACAAGTGAACTGTCCGCTGTCAGCCAATTCCGTTTGAACGATTATCAAAGAGTGCACACCGTTGCCTTCCTGAAGAAACACCCTCGGTTCACAACTAATTTCTCCCATAAAAAGTATATAAAACCACGAGTAAAGATAGGGAAGATAAGGTAAGAAAGAAGATAAAGTGAGAAGATAACTTTAGAGACACCTAGTAGTCCAATTTTTAAATTCATTCATTATTTATACTATCCATTATTTTGTTTATTTTATTCACCCTTTATCTATTCGTCCGTAAAATAATGACCACTGATGGCAACCGTTTGACTCAAAAAATCATCGCATAAATAAACAGGAAAAATAATTCTGTCAGAGGTATATGCTGGCCCCAAGAGATCAGCTGTAGATCAGCTGGTCTGAACCAAGTAGATCATAGGGGAGGCGGCAGTTGTTGATCGTGGGTGGTCATGGGAGACCGCCTTGCCAGAGGCAACTGATTGGCGCGGGAAGGTCCCAATAAAAGGGGTCCGGGTTCCTTTGTAGTATCTCCAGTTCCAGTTCCAGAGCTGCAGTGGTTCCTGAAGTTTCAGTG